CATACATGTCAAATTTTTTCCATAATGATACTTAATTTTATTTTGATGCATTAAAATGGCTTTAAAATGGAAAGAAGGTTTTTTAAAAAGGAGGGAGGTAGGCAGCGGAGCCTCGAGGCACAGTGGGGTAGAAAATGAGTGGAAGGCAGGAGTGGTGACTGACCCAGCAGGACTCTGATGCAGGAAACTATGCAGGTGATGTTATTAGTGAAGTCTTCCAGACGGCTCAATGGAAGAATAGATACCAATCTTACCCAAATTTTTCATGGGGGGAGACAGGAACATATCCCACTGCGCTTATGAGGCTAGCATAATCTAGATAACAATGCTTGACAATATTTGAAGAAAGCAAAGTTATATCCCAATCTGTTTCAAGAAGAGAAATACAGCAACAAAACATTGAAATGGTTGGGCATCATATGAAAAAATGATCTTGGCCCTTAATTCACATTCATTCCGAATGCATTATTGATTGAACAATAAAAGCATTAAGAATAATAAAGCTATGCAACATGAATGCAAAATATTTACCAATCATTACAAGGCAGATGTTTCTTAAATAAGACATAAAAATATGGACAGAGAACGACAACAATAAATTAGACTATATTAAATAAAGCAGGCTTATAGGATAGCACAGAGAAAAGGAAATGCTACAGAAAGGAAGAATTTTTCAATACATATATCTCCCCAGACACACTCAAAACACACATGAATGTCTATTACAGGTCAGCGAGATAGCTCAGTGAAGAAAGGCTTTCCTCACCAAAGCTGATGACCTGAGTTCAGTCTCTGGGACCCACATGCTGGAGAGAGAACAACTCTGCAGGTTGCCCTTTGACCTCTATTTTCATGTGTATCCACCCCCACCCTCAAATCGATAAGTGTAAAAACAAAAATACTGCCGCAAAATGAGAAAAGGTAAACAAAAATTTAATAGGCAAAAGCCATGGGAAGACATAAAGGGGGATACACAGAAGTTCAACAAAATCTTTTCAAATGTCTTCAATACCCACAGCCAGTAGGAAAGTGTAAACTGACACCTTGAGGATTTTCTGACGGATTTTCCAGACTGCCTAATGTGGGTTTTAGATGATAGTATCAAGAGTCAGAGGGACGTGGAGCAATCAGAGCTCATGTACAATGATGTTTGGCACAAGCTTGTGGGAAAGTTAATTTGGGAAATCCACTCAAGTTAAGAAATGAAAAACCCCCATGATCTAGCAACTCCACTTTTAGGTACTTACCCCAACAGAATGAGGTCACTTGCCCTCTGAAAACCATATCCAAATGTTCCAACAGTACTGTATATCATATGTATGTTGTAGCCCCCAGCTAGAAGTAACTCAAATAGCTATCAACAGAATGGATTAGTTAGGGCAGATTTATATGGTGAGGTATTTTGCAATAGGAGGAAATGAACTATGATATGTGCAAAAATATTGATAATTTCACAGAAATTATATTGGGTTAATAAGTTAGCCCAACAGAATACAGACTGTATTCCTACACTGAGCATTACAGTTTTGTTATTGTGCTGCAGTGACAGAGTACTCCAACCGAAGCAACTTGGGAAAAGGTGCTGATTTGGCACAGGCTACAGTCTATCACCAGTTCTATGGAAGCCAAGGCAAGAACTTGAAGCAGAAACCATAAAGGAACACTGCTTATTGGCTTGCTTTTGTGGCTTTCTCAACTTGGTTTCCTGTACAACCCAGACACCTGCCAAAGAGTGAATCCACCAACAGTGAGCTGTGCTTTCCTACATCAATCATTAATCAAGAAAATACCTACACATAAGCCTACACATCCAGACTGATGGAAGTAATTCTTCAGTTGAGGTGCCTCCTTCCTAGGTGACTCTAGTTTGTGTCAATTTGGCAGAAACTAATCAGTACATTCATGCACTAGGAAACCACTCTATCTCTGAATTTCACCAAGGCCTAAGTTTTCCCTTTAATATTCTACTATGTATCTAGTTCTAAGAACCATTAGTATATCGAGGCAATAATCAAGATCTCTGTCATGAGGTGATCTGGCCATGTTCTCTTAACTCCTAGAGTTGTTTACTTATGTGAGTAATAGTCTATTCCTTCCACTATGGAAAAACATTTCACTCATGTATGCTGTCATATCATCTGCGAATGGTGATACTTTGACTTCTTCCTTTCCAGTGTGTATTCCCTTGATCTCCTTTAGTTGTCTTAATTGCTCTACCTAGGACTTCAAGTACTATGTTGAAGAGATACGGAGAGAGTGCTGCCCAAGGTTTTTAAATCCCTGACTTCACATGCTCATACAGTACCTTAATCCTATGTGACAAGATAAAGTAGAAATGTGCTAACATTTTCTGCTCTGTACAAAATGCATAGGGGATTAATTAAGAACAACAAAACTCAAATCGTTGCCAGTGTAAATGAAGGAGGTATTTCCAAGCAGTAGGTACTAGCAATCAAGACACAGCTCAGAGAAGGACAATGGGTAGACTTGAATGTATCTTTGTATAAGAAGGATTTGAATATTCAAAGCTGAAGTTCCCTTTTGTTGGCACTGATAACTTTTCTAGCACAAGGGAAGTAAAAAGTATTAGTGATAAGAGCCACCAGAAATAATCAGCTTTATTTCTGCAAGTTACATTGGAGAGAACCTCTGCATTTTTAAATCTTTTCCAATTTTCCACACTCTTTATGTGCTTCTGAACTCTCTCTCCTACAGGCTATCTCCCTCTCCTTTTCTCTCTCTCTCTCTCTCTCTCTCTCTCTCTCTCTCTCTCTCTTCCCTTCCAGTCACCCCCTATCTCCTTCTCTCTATGTATCCTTCCCTTCCTCCATCTTCCCTCCCTCTCCTTTTCCCTCTCTTTCTCTTTCTTCTCTTTCTCCCTCTCCCTTTTTCTTTCCCTCCCTCCCTCCTCATTCTTGCCTCAGCCCTTCAATGGAGTCACTGCCTATCCCAAATCTTCTGTGGCTTGGGGATGTGTTTCTCTTGCTTGTCTACATCCTGGTCTGGCTTCTGTTGGTTTTTAGCCCTTAGCTTGAATCTTATGTTTTAATGCCATCCAGCGACACTTTGGTTTTACATACTGTTTTCTCATATTTCCCACTGAAGCTGGAGCTAACAGTAAACCTTCTTTTGCCTGTACTCCACCCTAATGCACAGTCCTAGTCTGTCTCAGCGTTCTATCAATCATTGGAGCTAGAGGCCTCCAACCTGCTGGAAACTGAGCAGCCAGGTTAAAATCTGCTCCATTACCTGTGCTATCCTGGCATCTCTGGATGCCGAAATCAATCTGCCCAAGGGCAGGCAGACACAGGATAGACACACACGTGTCAGATAGTGACAGGGCTGTGGGACAAAGCCAGAGGTGCTCACAGTAGTCCATGAAGGCTTTCCTGAGAGACAGAGGAGACCACCAATGAGTCCATGAGACCAATGTAGACACAGCCACGAAAGAAGCCTTATCCTTCAAATGGAAATGCAGACACAGATATCATTTAGACCTTCTCTGAATTTGTGGTCCAGAACATGGGCCCAACCTTTCCCAGTTGCTTTGAAGAGCATCCCCAAATCTCACTAACCTAATACTGTGATCTGTGCAGAAACTAAAACAGTTTTAGCAAGTTTTTTTTTTAAATCAGGGAAATTGATTTTAATACAATTCTTTGGTGTACATATAATTTTACCAGTTATTAAAGATAAAAGTTTGCACACTGGTGAGATGGATATGCTCATTTATATTTTTTAATTTTTAAGACATTTTATTGATTCTTTGAGAGTTTCACACTATGCATTCCAATCCTGCTAATCTCCCTGTCCCTTAATATCTGCCTTTCGCTCTTGTAACTACCTTCCTCTCAAAATAACACACACACACACACACACAAAAATAAAAACATAGCACAGAAAAAAAGATCTCATTATGGAAGATACAGTGTGTTACACTGTGTCCCACAGTATATTCTTCTGTTCATACATTTTCTCTTGCAAATGTTCGTAGCAATGAGTCACTTGTCTGTTCAAGTTTTCTGGCTTGTGTGACACCATCAGTATTGAAATCCTCACTGGAACTCCTGGGCCAGCTTTCCTCACTTTCACACCCTTGGGGCTGGCTCACCCATGCCTTTACCATCAGTGCCAGCTCTACTGTGTTGACTGGGCAAGGTGCAGGGCCTGCTCTCCTGGACATTACAGCCAGTGAGGAGGCAGGGCTAGCTCTCCTGCTCCCATGCCCACAGGGCGAGCTCTCTTGGGATGACAGGGGGTGGGGAGAGGGAGAGCATTAGCTCAGATCCAGCTCTCACATCCTCAGGGCCTGCTCACCTGTGCCCCTGCCACCAGGGCCAACTCTGCTTTGCTGTCTGGATGAGGCTGATCTCCCCAGTGCTGCCACTGATGTGAGGTGGGGCCAGTTCTCCAGAGCCCTAGCCAGTGAGAGTCAGGGCAGGTTCCTCACACCCTCTGGACATCCATGTGGTTCCCAGCGGCTGCCCCAACCGGGGACCTCCCTAATTTCTCTAGTGGTAATATGAGCCATGGACATCAACACTGACCCCTGCCACACCATAGCCACAGACTCAGACATGGCCTTCAGTTGTAGCTCAGGCTGGTACCTCACCTTCTCCTCAGGAGGCAGAGCTAGTCACTCACAATAGATTATTCCTCTCCACTTTCGACTTTCCAGTTCCATTATCTCCCTGTAATGCTCAAGCTGCTCTACTGCTCTTTCTCTCCCATCTGTCCACCACATACTTGCACATTATAGTGGCTCCAGAGGCAGGCTGGCCACACAGCTGGCAGACCTCTGGTGACATCCTCTGTCTGAATTGCAGGGCATGGTGGCAAGCAGGTGTCTATGGCCCACCTGTGCTGTGGGGCAGAGGGCAAGTCTGTGAGCATCTTTCCCACCCACCCGTACCACATGGCATGGTGGGACCAAAGTCTCTGTCATTCTTCCTCCTTCTGCCCTGTGATGCTTGGATCTGATTTGATATTTGATTTGATTTTGATGTGTCCTAAGCATAAAACAGCTGCGGCCACCAAGCCAGGCATCACTCTAGGGTGAACGAAAGACTGCCACCTGCTGTGCCCCTGACTGACATAAGAACAACACTACCAACAAGATGTCTCTTTGCCCATTGTCAGGGGTGGGGGATGCCTAAAACACTTTATTAAAAATGTAATTTTGAAAAAGAAATCTAGTTTGATTGTCAAGAAGTGTTACACCTGAGAAACAGCTTTTGAAACAAAATGGTATACCTTCACTGCTAGTCTAAAAAAATCACTGAGTGTTATTAGGGAGAAAAGGGTTGAAAGGAAACCATAATATCATAACTGTGCTTGACCTTGAGCCCTGCATTAGGTATTGCCTTCTGAGGCCAAGCCTGATATCAGAAGTATAGACACCATCTCCCAGACAGCTCCTTAGTCATTTACTATCTTCTGAATTGGGGCCAGAATCCCAGAAATGGGTAGTTTTAATCCCATTCTAGGCACTTAAAATCTTTAATGACTGAAGTTAAATATAATGGGTATTTTTAAATTCCTGCTTTGGAGATATCAATGCCTGTCTCTCTTGGGCTTTCTTCTGTCCTATCCTAGAACTAGTTACCAAGTTAGCACTACTTTATATTTAAACAAGAACTGTATACTTGTCCACCTAGAAATAGGGTTCATCAGAGAAGCAAAACTGATAGAATGAACACACACACACTCACATATATGAAGGGGATGTTTTCACTTTTTAGATTTATTTGTGTGTTTGTTTGTTTGTTGAGACAAGGTTTCTCTGTCCTGGAATGTTCTAAGTAGACCAGGCTGGCCTCAAACTCACAGATACCTGCCTGCCCCTGCCTCCTGAGATCTGGGATTAAAGGTGTGTGCCTCCACACTTGTCAAGAAGGAAATAGTTTAGATTGGCTTGCTCGATACAGTGTGCATAGTCCAACAATAGCTGTGTTGTACTGAGAGGCCAGGGACAATCCATAGTTTCTCACTTACAGGGATGGATGGCTCTGCAGCTCCAGTCTGGCACTGGAGGCCTGGAGGATTCCTAGAGAGCTGCTGTTCTCCTCAGTCCACATCAGAAGTCTGAAGAGCTGGTTTCTGACGTTCAGGAAAGGGATGCCAGAGCACAGCCAGCAGAGTTAACAACAACACAGCAGATGAATGTACCAGTCGGATTGGGGGCGGCCAGGCCAAGGCAAAGATTCTTTCTTCTATCTCCTTTTATCGGTGGCCACATGCAGGGTGCATCTCTTCACTTCAAACAACTGGATCAAGAAAATCTCTCACAGCTTGCCTTTTAGCTGATTTCGGATGCAGTCAAATGACCACCAAGAGCAACCGTCAGAGTCAGTAAACCAGGAGAGCAGCCTAAAGGAGCAAGAGGTCCATAGGACCAAGTGTGGATGTAATCAAGGACACCAGGGTTTTGCTGGTGACTGGGAAACAGCTTCTATGCATTAAATTCTCTAACACTACACTGTGTTCAGTGGACTTCAATCCCAGTTGCAGCAAAGGAATATTAGAGCATTTCTAATTGTCATATATATATATACATATATATATGACAATTATATATATACACATATATACAGCTCTCTAGGAATCATATATATATATATATATATATATATATATGTACGTTAACTTAATGACCCAGCAAAAGTTCCACCGTGCAATAGTTCCACAGGCTGAGGACGAAGCCTTTAACACGTTGGCCTCTGGGAGACCTGTAAGATCCGACCTGCAGTGCCCACCCTATTATAAGTATCCAGACAAGGAAGGAGGACTCTAGAGGTCCTCCTCTAGAGGTCTGAGTGTTGCTCTGAACATTAATACATTAATACCGTTATTTAGTATTAAACGGATTGTTGGGACTCTTCCTATTATCCAATTAAGTTGATTAGAATAAGCCAAATAATGTGTTTCTTTTTATTAAATTCATAACTCCCTCCCTAGATTACTTCTACATTAGCATTTTGTCCCTGGTCAGTAAAACTGACATCGCCCAAATTGTTTCATATTGCTTTCTTTCCATCTCCTGCCTGTTCAAACAAGTACAAGCTCCTTGATGTTAAAAGGAATATATGTGAAACCTTAATTCTATTGCCTTTAGTGCCTGGCACAAGTGCATTGCATGAAAAAGTCCCTAGGAGCCAGATAGTTCAATACGATTCTACAATTTAGAAGGGCTAAAGCTGTGCCACACATTAACCCAAGGGCCTTTTTAATTAGTTCCAGTGAGAAGACGAGGAAAGATGTGGTGTCAATAAAAGAGAACACAGTGGCTGACACAGGCACATGAGCCTGTGGTTCCTTTTCCTCCTCCCTCCACATTGTCCCAAGCCTCTCCCGTCTTGACAGTCACAGGGCCAGACAACATGCTTCACTGCTATTCTCCAACCAAGGATTCAAGGTGATAAGACTGTTGGTAGGGAGACAATGAAGTTGCCTTTTGAACATCACTAACCTTGAGTTCCTCCCCACTGTGGGAATCATAAAGGCAGGGGTGGAACTGTGGACTTTGGGTGATGTGGGGACCTCAGAATTCTCTGGAATCTGTATACCCAAAACAAGTATCCTAGAAATGCATTCTCAGGTCCCAGTATACTGAATGATGTTCAGAGCCTGCAGATGAACAAGATGCCCAAAAGTAAACTTTGCAATCATATTCTTTGTTCTATGTGCCACACAGATGGTGACATCCAAACAGAACCTGTCAATGGCTCAATTCGCTATCAAAAACAGTAACATCAGAATCCACAGCACACAGTAGAAAACGCAGTGCTTTGGGGGTTAACACAACAGTTACCAGCAATCAATGAAAAATCCAATTATTTCACAATATGTGGAAGTAAAACTAACTCCATAGTCTGTGGGTAGTTCCAAGCAATGCTGTAGAAACTGCTCAGTAAATACCTGCATGGAATAGAACGAAAATACTATTTTTGTTTTTTTGTTTGTTACTTTGTGTTGGCTTTTGCCTGATTTTAGCCATGGAAACTCTTAAGTCAGGCAACAATGTTTATCATTTGGCAACATGTCTAAAATCATCACATTTTGTATCCTCAGAGTTTCTGCTTGCTCAGAAAAGCCCATTTGGCCATTTTTTGTTTTTATCATAATTACTTTTTCATAAAAGATAGCACAAGTGCTACATGGAAAAAGACAAGAAAATATTTCAAACAACAAAATCTATACATTTATCCCCAATGAAATCACACCCAACATGTTTACTTCCTTTTAGTTTTTATGGGGTTGAAATGTTCCTGTGTCTTTAGATCAACATGTCCTTTTATTTTAAAAGTATTACAGACACCTGGTACAGATTGAGTCCCAACTCTATAAGACCAATGGTCTTATCACAGATGCTCAGACCCTTAATGTACTTACTAATTTGATTAAAGAAATCACAGTCCCAAGGCCTGCATAGGAAATTCAAAACTTATTTATTCTTTTGTAAATAATCATCTTTTTAAAGTGTTCATTTAACTACTGACATTCATGAGCTTTACTTATAGATCCAGGCTAAAGATGTTGCCTGTATTAGAATCTATGCTAAAAGCGTTTTTCTGCTGTAGGGTATTTATCTTAGTTAGGGTTTCCATTGCTGTAAAGAGACACCATGACCATGGCAACTCTTATAAAAGGACAACATTTAATTGGGGATTGCTTACTCTTTAGTGGTTTTGTCAGTTATGGCCATGGTGAGCCTCATGGCCATGTGCAGGCAGACATGGTGCTGGACAGGTTGTTGAAAGTGACACTAGGCCTGGCTTGAGCACCTCAAATCTGAAAGCTTTCCCCAGTGGCCTACATCCTCCAGGAAGGACCACACCAATTCTAACAAAGCCACACCTCCTAATAGTGCCACTTCCTATGGGCCTATAGAGGCTATTTTCATTCAAACCACCACAGTAAAAATTTTTAATTATTATCATTTCCAATTTTCTCTTTGATTTTTTCCATGTAAAAGTCTGTACATTCCCATTATGGATAAGAGAAAGTTTGGAAGAGTTACTACCCAGCATGACATCCATACTTGGTGAGCAATGAGAGATACTTGGTGATACTGCCAATCACCAATGGGGCAAAAGCACATTTAAAATATAAATATTTACTCTGAAATTTATCAAAACGTTTACAAAATATAATCACTTCTTAACTATTTCTTGAAGTAACAAATAATACATACTTAGAGGCCATATACATGTGTGTATTGGGAACACCTAAAAATGTTTATGTTTTCATAAAGTTTAAGATGAATCAAAGGCTTCACAGGTAACAAAATTCTGCTAACAGCAACCCACACCAAATCAAACATCAGAAAATCCCACTAGGTAGAAAGGACACAATAGCCAAATTGTCCTGAAATTGGATGTATAATTATCTCCTTGGAAGCCACAAAAATCAATTTGCCGCAAGATAAAACATCTTCAATGAAGCATTTTTAATTAAACTAGTATATTATAGCACTCCATTACCCTATGCAAAGAACTAGACACAATATTTATAGATACTTAAGAACTTGAAAAATAGATGCCAGTAGTTACTAAGTTCCACACCCAGACAAAACTCCTGAGATCCAACAGATTAAAGGGAGTTATTGAAAGAAGGGACTTTCTGACATGGCAGTCATTTTTTAGTGATTACACGGAGCAACCCTTCTGGATCAGGAGAAGGAAAACCAAAAGATTTCTTTTGCCAGAATTGTATCTCTGTTGCTTGTCACAAGTCATTGATTTAAAACCAAAGCTTCAAAGGGGTTACAACAGTAATCTGAGGCTTTAACTCTGTTTATACGGTTACAAAAAAGCAAATTGCATTGCCCTGTGAAAAATTAGCAAATCGGGAAGCAACAAGCTTTGGAAAGACAGTTATTAAATAGTCACAGAAAATTCCTAGTTCAAAAGAAGAAAGAAAAAAGAAAGAAAGACAGAAAGAAAGAAAGAAAGAAAGAAAGAAGGAAGGAAGGAAGGAAGGAAGGAAGGAAGGAAGGAAGGAAGGAAGGAAGGAAGATCCTAATTCAGAGATTAACTTTCTACAAATAAAAATATTCTACTTTAAAATACATATCAATTATTTCTCTCATCCTCAAGGTCTATAAATGTCATGAGCCCATTGCTGTTTCTCCAGGTTTTACAAT